TTCTGTTCCCTACAGTCAATAAGATAATGGCAAGCATTTCTAGCGTTCCAACACACATGAAAGCTTGGGCCTATTCTGAATACGGGAACATAGTAGAGATTCTCAAATTTGATACTAACATACCTATACCAGATATCAATGAAGATCAAGTGCTCATCAAGGTTGTGGCTGCAGCCCTTAATCCTGTAGATTGTAAGAGAGCTCAGGGGTATTTCAAGAACACTGACTCTCCCTTACCTGTAAGACTATGATCTTATTAATATATATTTTTGTAGTGTGGAATTATAATTAGTTTCCAATTTTTATGGATAAAACTGATAAACTTATATAGTACTATTGTCTAATAAAATTGAAGTTTATTGTTATTGATTTTCATAATAAATGTTTTCATTAAATATATTCGTGTATTATTGAGGTAAAAATAAAAATATAATTCTGATCCAAAAATAACACTAATAGAAATATAATGTTGTGCTGGAAATTAAGACTGTACCAGGGTATGATGTTGCTGGCGTGGTGGTGAGAGTGGGAATTCAAGTGAGAAAATTCAAGGTTGGGGATGAAGTTTATGGTGATATCGTTGATCATGATGGTGTGAATAAACTAAGGTCCATTGGGTCTTTGGCAGAGTATACTGTGGCTGAAGAGAAACTATTGGCTCACAAACCCTCCAACTTGAGCTTTATTGAAGCTGCTGGCCTTCCTTTAGCCATACTCACTGCTTATCAAGCACTTGAAATAGTTGAACTTTCTGCTGGTCAATCTGTACTTGTTCTAGGAGGTGCTGGTGGAGTTGGTACCCTTGTTATTCAGGTTTCACATCTTCCATCTCCATTAGTTTGCCAAGTGATGTCAATAAATAGAGTAATAGACATTCTTATTGAAAAGAAATTCTATTATATGTTCGTAAATTTAAATTTAAGTACAATTTTTATTAGTTAAGAATTATAAAATTATGAAAGATGTTCATTAAATAGGAAGTGAAACTTATACAAAATTGTGTGGTTTTTAATAAATTTTGATAAATAGAAAGTGTGTTTAAAAGAGTCAAAATGTAGAGAATGAAGTATCTAAGATATTTTTGTACCTTGTTACCAATCTCTTTATCACTTTTCCTTTATATGATCAAACTTATTGATCAATTATTGACCTAAAATACAACTATATGAAGACTCTTATATATATATATATATATATATATATATATATATATATATATAAAAAAAAATAT